CCACCAGGCTGTTGCTTGGAGCGGCCCGCAGGCCCACATACCCACCACAGCCCGGTTGGTCCGGCACTCCTTGGAGGAATAAATCTAGTTTCCTCTTGAAAATGTCCACGGTTGTTCCGGCAATATTTCTTATGCTTGCTGGGAGGACGTTGTCTGTCTCTTCGCGTATGGTATTTTTGACTCAAGTTTATCATCATCTCTATGGTGATCAGGTGGCTTTCTTGTTAGTGTCCCACCTGCGGGCTTCGTCTCGGCAGCAGTGTGAAGTTTCCTGGCGGTCCTTCCGGTTCTTCTCACGTCTTCGTCGTTGTACTTCGCTTTCGGTTAGGGTGGTGTTGTCCTATCTCTCTTGGTTGTTCCAGAACTGTCTCCTTATGTCTAACACTGTCGCCTCGTATCGTGCGACACTGGCGGAGCGGCTTCAGCTTGCTTTCAGTATTGATGTTATGTCTGCGCCGTTTTGCAAGCTGTCTCGGGCATTGTTTCACCTCCGGCCTGCTCATGCGCCGCCTGAGACATCCTGGTCATTGAACAGAGTGCTCTCTTATCTTTCTTCTCCTCAGTTTGTTGTGGCCCCTTCAGTTCAGGATTGTTTCTCTAAGGCTCTTTTTCTGTTGGCATTGGAGGGCCTCTGGAGGTCAGGTTGGTGAGCTTCATGCTCTCCTCCGGCGCAGGGGTGTCAACCGCCTCCCAGGTAAGTCGCTCTTTTTTTTCTCTGTGGGCAGTTAGCTCTGGGGGCCGTAGGGGCTCCCCCCCAGAAAACCAGCGTTGAATGTAATGAAACACTGTTTTCTGGGTGAGACCGGGAGGCTCCACGGCATCCCTCCCTCCCTCCAGTCAGCGTGTTTTGACATCCAGCCTCAGAACTGGGGTGTGGATCGCTGGTGCGGTAGGTCTGGGGCTCCCCTTTCATCCTCCCGGGGAGGGGGGAGCTGCTCAGACAGTGGTGCGGCAACAGGTGACGTCACACTAGTTTGCCCGTTTTTGTTTGGGGAGTTCTATCCACTTGTTCGGCAATATTTTCACCAGAATAGGGGTTTGTTTTGGGATGCTTACCTTTCTGGGTGCTTGATCCGGTCGATGGCATACGTAGAATGCTTCCAAACACAAGAGCCGTCTATAGGCCATTGCTCCCCTTTCGTCTCTGAGGGGGGGGGGGCCAGGTTCTGGTTGTGGTCCCCGGTAGGCCCAAAGAACGCCATACACATGACTGATGCCAAAGTCTGACATTAGCATATCAGTCTGAATAGCTCTGGGGAGCCTCTGGGTCTCACCCAGAAAATGGCATTTCATTATATTCAACGCTGGATTTTTGGGGGTTTTGTGACTACAATTTGTTACCCATAATGTCGCCAAAGCAGCTGCTTGCTAAAGATAATGTTGTCAAGAGGAAGAAAGACACATTTACTGTACATTTGAAGAAGGAAATTGCCTGACTCAGCAGTGGATTTTCATTATGCAGATGAAGGGTCACAATAACTTGGCTGAAAAATGTTGACCAAATCACACACTAGAAATTGAAGAGATGACGACATTTTGGTCCGTCCTGGACCATTATCAAGTCGATTGTGATGAGACGAAGTTGTTGTTGTTTAAGATTCGCTACTCAGAACAATAAGTTCCAGTAGCACGGGCTATGGTTAACCTCGTGGACGGGAGATGTCTCCCATGGATGAGATGAAGGAAGCAAGGGCAATAAATAGACAAGAGAGAGGTGAGGAGATGGAAATCTTAGAGGAAGAAAAGAGCAAGGCAAAAGGTACGGAAGGTAAGGTATAATAAAGGATAAAGATATGGTCTACCTAAGACTTATAAACCTGGTGTTGTTCTTCGTCCTATCATTTCTTTAAGGGCTCTGTTGGCTATCCTCTTGCCTCCTGGCTAGTTAAAACTCTGATGCCTTACCTTGGCACTATTTCTCCTGCCCACCTTCGTCACTCTCAGTACTTTATAAAAAGACTGCGCCTGCAGCAGACTATGCATCCTGTAAGATGCATAGTCTTGATGTTGACTCTCTGCTTACTAATGTTCCCCTTGATGACGTTCTCTCTTTCCTTAGACAGAAGGTGACTGAGGGCCTTCCTCTCCCGCTTCCCACTGACGTTTTCCTCAAACACATCTTGAGGTTATCTTGAGATGATTTCGGGGCTTTTTAGTGTCCCCGCGGCCCGGTCCTCGACCAGGCCTCCGCCCCTAGGAAGCAGCCCGTGACAGCTGACTAACACCCAGGTACCTATTTTACTGCTAGGTAACAGGGGCATAGGGTGAAAGAAACTCTGCCCATTGTTTCTCGCCGGCGCCTGGGATCGAACACAGGATCACAAGTCCAGCGTGCTTTGTGTTGACTAACTCATTCTCTTTCAACGATAAATACTTCTCTCAAACTTTCGGTGTCACTATGGGTTCCCCTGTCTTCCCTGTTCTTGCCAATCTCTACATGGAATACTTCGAAACTGTTCTTCTTCCTTCTATTGACATTCGTCCCTCTCTCTCTGGCTTCGCTATGTTGATAACATTTTTGCTTTATGGCCTCATGACCTTAGTCTTTTCCAGCCTTTCCTCTCCTCTTTTAACAATTTGGCTCCTGTCATCCATTTCAAAGTTGAATGGGAATCTAATTCCCGCCTTCCTTCTCTTGACGTTCATGTTCACAGCTCTGTGTCCGGAGTTCTCTCTCTCAGTCTACCGCAAACCCATGCATAGTGGCATATACATTCACTTCTTTTCCTACCATTCTCCTTCTGTTAAGAAAAGTGTCCTCGTCTCTCGCTTCCTCCGTGCTTTACGCATCAGTGATCCACAGTTTCTTGATTCTAAAATTTCCTTTATCTACACATCTTTCTCTCACCTTGGTTACTCTTTACATTTTATCAACTGTGCCTATTCTCAAGCTAAATGTAATTTTTTTCATCCTAAACCTGCTTCCAACACTAGTAGCACTGTGCTATGCCTTCCCTTCATATCTGAACTCTAAACTTTTACCAATACTTTTCATCCACTTGACATAAAGCTCGCTTTTTGGCAAACTAACTCTTCATAGCAATCTAGTTCACAATGCTCTTCCTGCTTCTAATGCTGCTGGTGTCTACTCTATTTCCTATTCGTCTTGTCCTCTCCAATACTTTGGTGAAACTGGCCATACACTTAATGACAGACTTAAGGAACACAAAAGAAGTGTTAAATCTGCAGACACAAACAATGCTCTCTTCTGTCATGTTAGGGATTCTAATCATCCTTTTGATTAGTTTTCCTCCAAAATAATCTTTCCTGCCTCTACTCTACACAGACGCCGTCTTGTCGAATCGGCTCTGATACACAACATACCTAACATGAACCTGAGTCCTGGCTTTGTTGCTGTTGACTCTTCCCTCTCACAGTATATACTCAAATGTTCTAAACTTTCTAACGGGACCTAACACAAGCTTACCCTTCCTTTTATCTTTCTTACCTTTCCCTCGTTTTCTCTTACAATCCCTTTCTTATTCCTATTATTATTACATCCTTTATTACACCTTACCTTCTGTACCTTTTGCCTTACTCTATTCTTCCTCTAAAATTTCCATCTCCTCACCTCTCTCTTGCCTATTTATTTCCCTTGGTTCCTTCGTCTCATCACAATCGATTTGACAATTGTCCAGGATGGACCTGAAATGTCATCTCTTCAATTTCTAGTGTATGGTTTGGATTCTCCTTCCACACCCTAACCCTCTTTCCTGCTCCCCACCTTCCCATCATATCCCTCAACCAGCAATGACTCTTCATAAGGTAAAGTACAATTGAAAACAGTAAAACAAAACATTTATAATAATTACATGTACATTATTATAATTTCTTTATAAAATTTCATATTTATGTTTTTTTGGGGATGGAAAGGATTAATTTTATTTCCATTACAGTATTATTAAATGGGGGAAATTTGTTTCGCAAGACGAGCGTTTCACATGACAGGCTTGGTGCCGGAACGGATTAAATTTGTTAATCAAGGCTCCTCTGTATAACCCCTACTCCTAAACTAAAAAATATTTATGCACTGCTAACATGAGTTTTTCCTATGCACTTATCGTAAGTGTAGGAGACCGCCCAAGCACCACACTGACGTCGATCGATCTCCAGCGTTGCCGCCGACTGAGTGAACAAGTCCTGGTGCATTTCTCTGTGCATCTCCCGTGTTCTAACTATTTCATACAAACTTGTATCTCCAAATTATTAATTTCTATGTGTTATAGAGTTCCAGAATGGTTTTCTATATTTACCACTGCTGTTTATATGTATTTTCAATCACTGAATGTACTTGAGAAAAGTATTTTCCTTGATGTTTCCACTTTTTTGGGGAGGATATTTTCATACTATGACAATGTACTGCGCATGTGCAGAACTGGCTACTTTACTGGCAAGAAGTCCAAATTCAATGTTAATCACACTAATATATTCCTTCAATAGGAGTCCCTATTCCTTCAATAGGAGTCCCTACCTCACAAATCACTAAAAAACAAATGCCCACCCCAGGGCAATGGAATGGAGCCAAAAGAGAGAACTGCTTGGATGTAGAACACATCCCACAGACATGCTACTAAATGGCTCCCGAACTGAAAAACAAGAGCTGCGGGGAGAGGATAGAGGTGTTAAAGCTAGAAAATAGACAGAAAAAAGAGACAATATGATCACTACTGTATATACAAAACAGTACAGTAACTGGAATTGACAAAGATGAATTCCCGAACCTTCAACTTAAAGAACAAGAGGCCATAGCTTCAGGCTAAGGAAACAAAGGTGCCAAAAAATATTAGAAAGTTCTCTCTTGCAAATAGAATAACTAGCTGGTTGGAAGAACATATGCACGTATATTTATCAGTTTTCATCATATGGCTGTACAATTGCTAATTTTCATCATATGCTTGTACAACTGCCAGTTTTCAATGGACATTTTCATGTATAATAAAATAACAATGAAAATTGCATAAAATACAATACTTGTAAATATAAAAATTAATGAAACTTACATGACGTCAGATCATCAAGAGTGTTGTAGTGGTCGACAAGATCATCATCCATATCAACCTCATCAGCAGTTTTGTTCATCAGCACAGCCATGCGGATGTCTCTCACCCCATCGTACACCAGGTGTGATGCATCTATGAACTCATTTTCATCCACCTCTTTATCTGTTGTGTTGCCTAAAGCTTCCAAAGTCACGTCCACACGTTGGGCGAAGTTGGGCAGCACTAGGGAGAATGTAAACATTTTAATATGAGCTTTGTTTTACACAGATAGGTACAAGAACAGATGACAGCTGACTTCTGTTAGCAGGTTGAGTACTTTCTCATCCCACAGCTCACGATAAGCCTTACCCACTAGCTGTACACAGGTTGGCAAAGGAACTATTAGCAGGCTAAGAGCGTTTTCATCTCATTGCTCATGGTAAGTCTCAGTTGCTGTTTCCATGAACTTTAATCTTCACTAATACAGTATGTGTTTTTAGTCACGTCAAATACTGATGTAATGTGAGGGGGATCGATCCTATCACATGGCCTCAATATTTTCTCAGATACATTATTATGATTTCTTTGTGCAAGACATTTATTTATAACTAATTATGCATACATCATTTCTTTTTTTAATTAGAATTAACAAATATATGTAATTGGATTAATATATACAAAGCCTGCAGACGATGAGTCACAATAACTTGGGTGAAGATACGATGACCAAACCACACGCTAAAAGATGAAGAGACGACGATATGTCAGTCCATCCTGGACCATTATGAAGTCGATTGTGACACAATCGACTTCATAATGGTCCAGGATGGACCAACTTTCATCTAATGTTGTCATTAAAAACATGTTCAGTCCCACATTAAAGGAGCTATCGTTCATAACCTAATTTTCCCATTCTCAAAGGGCTGTGTTCACTAGGCAAATTTGTTATTCCAATGTAAAGAAAATATGATCTGCAGGAAATTACTTTTTTTTGGGGGGGGGGGGGGAGGAGGAGGAGTAGTAAAGAGGAAGTTCTCCTGCCATAAAAAAATATTTGCAGGAGAACAGTTTGCCACTCAAGGCCCTGCTTCTCCTCGACAATGCTCCTGCCCATCCTCCAGGCTTGGAGGATTCATTGATGGAGGAATTTAGTTTTGTTACAATAAAGTTCCTTACTCCCAACACCACTCCTCTACTTCAGCCTATGGACCAGAAAATCATTGCCAATTTTAAGAAACTTTATGAAAGTGCACTTTTCTGGAGATGTGTCGAAGTGACGGATGCCACAAACCTCACCCTCAAAGAGTTCTGGAAAAACCATTTTAACATTTATAGTGCTTTAAAACTTGTTGACAAAGCCTGGCAAGAAGTGACTGTAAGAACCATGCTCTCTGACTGGAGAAAACAGTGGCCTGCATGTGTTGCAGAACGAGACTTTGATGGGTTTGAGCCTGAACTTGAAGTGCCTCTCATTGAGGAAATTGTTTCTCTGGGACGGCAATTGGGTTTGGAGTTGGATGGTGCTGATGTGGAGGAGTTGGTGGAAGAACACAACGAAGAACTGACCACCAAAGAACTCCAAACCCTTCAAAAGGAGCAGCAAGAAGAGGCAACTGAGGAAATTTCTTCAGGGGAGGATTTGTCAGTACAGAATGTCCCTTCCTCAACAATTAAGAAAATGTGTGCAGCATGGGAAGAATTGCAAACCTTTGCTGAAACAACTCGCCCAAATCAAGCTGCAGTAAGCCGTTGCCTTAACCTATTCAATGACACTGTGATGCATCACTACAGACAAATGTTAAAACAAAGGGAAAAACAAGTGTCTCTTGACAAATTTGTAGTGAGACAAACAAGCAGTGAACCACAACCAGGTCCTAGTGGTATTCAGGCAAAATGTAGGAGAGAGTACCCCAAAGAAAACATCACTGCCTGATGTGATAATGGAAGAGGACTCCCTTCCAAACAGTACATGTAACAACTCCTCTCCTCCCCCCTCATCACCATCTTCCATACGCCATCAAGAGCCCTCCATAAAGGTAAGATAAACATATGTACTGTATTGTAGTTAGAAAAAAAACATTGTATTCAGTATAAAATGTATTTGTAAGTTACTATTTTAGAGGGTGGGGAACGGATTAATTCAATTCCCTTTATTTCTCATGGGAAAATCGCTTTGACTTACGATATTTCGACTTACGATCCGTCTCTGGGAACGGATTACCATCGTAAGTCGAGGCCCCACTGTATAGGCATTTTAGTCGGTCCCAATAGTTCAGATGTTTTACCGAGTGGATTCTAGCAGTAAAGAATCTCTGGATGTTCTCCAGGTCAGCAATTTCTCCACCTTTGAAAAGAACTGTCATTGAGCAACAATATGCCACTCTAGAGAGCACTAGCATTTTGAAGAGTATCATCATTGGTATAGCATCTCTAGTCTGAAAATTTCTTGCTATCCAACCTGTCATTTTTCTTGGAGTTGTGATGATTGCTTTATTGTGTTCTTTAGAGGTAAGGTCTTCCGACATGAGTACACCCAGATCCTTTGCATTGCTTTTTCGTTCAATGTCATGATTTGACTGCGTTTTGTACATGGTTTCTTTTTTCATATTTTCCTTTTTTTCTGTAGCGCAATAACTGGAACTTATCTTCATTAAATACCATATTTTCTTTAGTCCATTGACAGACCTGATTTACAGCTGATTGGAGATTTGCTGTGTTCTCTATGTTGTTTACTCTCATAAAAATCCTAGTGTAATCTGCAAAGGAAGATACAGTGCTATAGATTGTGTCTTTGTCTATGTCCGATATGAGGATGAGAAAAAGTACTAGAGCAAGCACAGTACACTGGGGGACTGAGCTCTTCGCGGTTGATGGTCCAGATTTTATTTTGTTGACTATTAATCATTGAATTCTATTAGTCAGGAAATTGTAGATCCATCTGCCTATTTTTTCAGTAATTCCTTTGCACGCATTTTGTGTGCAATAACACCATGGTCACATTTGTAGAAGGCTTTTGCAAAATCTGTGTAAATTCCATCAGCATTTTGTTTGTCTTCCATGGCATCTAGTGCCATATCATAGTGGTGGTACAGAAACTGTGACAGGCAAGAGCGCCCTGTTCTGAAACCATGTTGTCCGGGGTTATGGAGATGCTGTGATTCCATGTATTTTGTGATCTTATTTCTTAGTACTCTCTCAAAGATTTTTATGATTTGTGATGTTAGTGCTATCGGTCTGTAATTTTTTGTCTCTGCCTTATGTCCTCCTATATGGATGATGCTATTGCTGCTGTTTTTAGTATGTCAAGGATAATGCCAGTATCAAGGCTTTGCCTCCAAAGAATGTGAAGGCCTGCAACAGTGTTTTTTACAGTTCTTGATGAATATGGAGTTCCAGGAATCGTGGCCTGGTACAGAGTGCATAGGCATACTGTCTATGGCTTCTTCAAAATCCAGTGGGAATAGGGTGACATCTGATATATGCTTTGATGTTGGCATCACCTCCGGGGCTCACCCAGAAACTGGCGTTTCATTACAGACAATGCTGGTTTTTTCTTTAAAATTCAAAATTTGGACAGGAGATCTGATCGTCAAATTTGGTCCGAGGGATCTGTGGTGCCAGAGTGTGTGCGCTCTATAATATTAAATTCTTCAAATTTAAGAGGGCTATATAACCATAATTATCTTACCCTGGTCTCGCAATACTTTCACAGCCTCAGACACTCGCTCAGTGTACATGCAGGGCTCATAATTATCCATTTCTGAAGCAACAACATGACAGACACGCGCTGAGCGCCCACTGATCGCTCCTGCTATGCGATCAAGAGTTTCTGGATCTCCGTCATTGATTGCTCGTACACACATCCTCACATCCTCCAGTATGTGACTCTCTGTCAGGAAAGAATACAAATTATTTACCTAATACAAAAAATATACTTCTCACAACCACATAACTGATGATTGTAAAACAAGTTTTATAATGAAATATGTAGGCAATATTGCTAACCAAAATAAATCAATACATAATTTTTTATTTTTTATTATACCAGTATATATGTTAATATCAGTAATGAAGAGCAAAAGCATGCAAAGTTAAACCACAAACTTTAACCTGAAACTGCTAGGAAATCATCGATCGTTGTTATGTCATCAACTGAATCAATTAAGATGCGAACTTGGTTTTCCCAAGCGTCCTTGAAGGCCTCCATGTTCTCTTGTGTTACCTGCAAATATTGGTACAGTACATTACGTAATTATACAGCAGATGAAAGAAAGGCAATGACTGTACGAGGATTTACCTGAATTTACCTGAGGGCCACCAACACTAGTGGCCTTGACGAGGACAGGATTTAATGGTATACCTTGTGGTTACCTTGCGATGGTTTCAGGGCTCAATGTCCCTGCGGCCCGGTCCTCGTCCAGGCCTCCTGGTTGCTGGACTGGTCAACCAGGCTGTTGGACACGGCTGCTCGCAGCCTGATGTATGAATCACAGTATGGTTGATCAGGTATCCTTTTGAGGTGTTTATCAAGTTCTCTCTTGAACACTGTGAACGGTTGGCCAGTTATGCCCCTTATGTGTAGTGGAAGTGTGTTGAACAGACTCAGGCCTCTGATGTTGATAAAGTTCTCTCTCAGGGTACCTATTGCACTTATGCTTTTCAATGGGAGTATTCTGCACATCCTACCATGCCTTCTGGTCTCATGTGATGTTATTTCTGTGTGCAGGTTTGGGACCAGTCCCTCTAAAATTTTCCATGTGTAAATTATTATGTATATCTCCTGCCTGCATTCAAAAGAATACAGATTTAGGCACTTTAGTGGGTCCTAACAGTTTAGATGGGGTGGCACTTTTTCGTTCTATTGTATGATTTGACAGCATTTTGTACGTGGTTTCTGTTTTTATATTTTCATTTTTTTTCATGCTAAAAGGTATGCACACAATTACTAAGTAAATTTCTGAAATATAGTTTTATCAGTAATTTATTATCAAGTACAGTATTCTGCAATCACACAATATTTCAAACTTGCAACTATACAAATACACAATATAGGGACTGATCCATTGATCAGTAATAATTTTTCCCAAGTTGTTATACTCGAGTGCCTTCCCAGACTTGACCATTATCTACTTTTGACAAAATAATTTTCTTGAGTTTCAATTATTGCAGTTAAATTCCCCTCGGCAAAGTTAATGATCTAAGTAAACTCGCCATGAAATCTCAACATAAAGAGAGTTAAAATTAATTTTTATCAGCTTTGTTAGGTGCATTTTTATTAAAAAGACATTAATAAATATTAATTGCAATTAATATCATATTTTTAAGAAATTATAATTTTGTTTTTTTACAGTATATCTAATTTAATTAATGTAAGCAAATGCAACAAACCTTAGATTTAGGTCTAGCTGAGAGGATGGTGGCAGCATTAATAACTTGCGGGTAGAGCAGTTGAGTCTGGGTGGCGCTGTATCTGACCATCTTCACACCATCTTCATTGGTGGACATTGTGCATGCCAGGTTGGCCACTTCCACTAACTTATTAGCATGCACAGAAAACACCTAAAGAATAATGTTCTGTTAAACACTGCACTGCTCTACATTAAAATGTGAGGCCAGATGCACTAACATTCCTCCCACAACCATGCTGTTTGTGGTGTTATTACACTATATACACACACACAAATTATATACAAGTGTCTACATGTTTTATTCACCATAACTGCAAGACTAAGCTGGTATGGTGTCCAAACAGCATAGTGGCCACTGCATGACAAGTCACACAGCAGGTAGCAGACGACAGCCACACCCACTCTCTCACCAAAATGGCTCCTCCAAACAAGTTCCTGTTGCTGTTATTACACTCTATACACGTTATATATATATCTACATTTGTGTTCACCATACCATATCATCTGGTATGGTGATTCCAGACAATAACATGTTGCCACACACACACACCAGCCAACAGATGATGCTATCCCCCTCCCTCCCTCCCTCACCAACAATAGTCCTCCTCCCACATCGCTAATTCTCACCACAATCCTGCTATTATCAGAATCCTGGTCATTAAATCATGTAAATGAATAATTTTCCACATGTTTATTTTGTAAAGGAACATGAGAAGTCGTTTGAAAAATTTTAGATGGACGTAATAATGTCAGTGTGCTGTGGCTAGCACTGTGAACATCTTAAACAGCATTTTTGTTAATTTTTTTTTTATTTATATATACAAGAGTTGTTACATTCTTGTACAGCCACTAGTACGCGTAGCATTTCGGGCAAGTCCTTAATCCTATGTTCCCTGGAATACGACCCCGGCGAAGAATCGTTTAACAACCAGGTACCCATTTTGCTGTTGGGTTAAACAGAGGCTACAGTTAAGGATTTGCACTCGGTAAATCCTCCCCGGCCAGGATATGAACCCAGGACAAAGTGCTTGCGGAATGCCAGACGAGCGTCTTACCACTATGCCATGGAGACTGTTATTCACTGATATCTGAACATTGTACTCAGTCTTTATCACAGTCAAGCTCTTCTGTAATATTATCATGGCAAAATAGTACCAGATCATATATATTTGGACATTTTTAGGCGATGCTGTGGTCACAAGCTGAACAGCAATGCTGTTAGCTCATGCTGCATGTGCTAGCCTTGGTTTCTCACTCAGTACTAAGGCCTTCACACCCAGGAATGTTGCCCACGATTTTTTTTAAATGTCATCTGTTTAGGAGAGCCCTGAGGAAGCTTATGTGAACCCTGTGTAGCCACAGGACTTAAATCTTAAGTGGTACTCCCAACCAAACATAGCCCTGGAAGACCCTCGGGTTCGGACACCGAGCAAGCAGTGCCTGAACTCAAGGCTGGGCCGGCCACCAAGGAGCCAAAAGGATGACTCTTGTTGTGTATCCAAATAAATAACAACTGCTCAACATCCTCAAGTGTTTGTGTTCTATGTTTCGTGACTATTGATAGGCCTTTTGCCACTTTAGCACTCATAATGTCCTTTTTCTTAGCCAGTATGGTGGATATCGTTGACTGAGATTTGTTGTACTGCCTAGCTAGTTCAACAATCCGCACACCATCTTCATATTTACGAATGATCTCTTGTTTTTGCTCTATGGTCATCCTTACATGGGTTTTCATATGTTGAACCTTACCACTGACTTTCTTGGGACCCATGGTGTGATATATAATAATTACTTTTATGTTCAAAAAGAAAAAAATCACAAAAACGGGATTTCTTATAGGCGCGATCATCACTAAGCGGGCAGCTGTAGTAAACTGAGGCAGGTCGGCCCGTGTGACCGGGAACCACGCGCTCGGTCGACCCAAACGTATACCAACAAATATTGTTAGTCAATGACACCATTGTATGTCGAGTCGTATTTTTCGATCAAATTTACATCATAACTCGAAATTATAAGTCAGGGCAATCGTAAGTCGAGGTGCCACTGTATGGTCAATGTTCAATTACCACATTGTCAACGTTCACTTTCACATTGTCAATGTTCACTTTCATACAGTCAACATTCAGTTTTGCATGGTCAACATTCAATTTCACATACATTCACTTAACTCAAAGTCCAACGAATCGTGGGACCAGGCGCGGGCGAACAGCGCAAGCCGCCCCCCCATCGCCCCGTCAAAGGGGCAAACCGCGAAAGGGCCGGCGACCCTTACGAGACCCAGAACCCCGCACAGCGCGAACACCGCGCCGACCAGACGAGGGAGGGTCCGCAGGAGGAGCCAACCCCAAACCTGACACCAGAGGCCTACCACGACGAGAGGAACCCCGAGCCCTGGCACGACCTTTCCGGGAAGACCCACCCCGGGACCCCCGGAAACCAACAAGTCCGACATCGGACGACAAGCCGCCGACGCAGCCTGAATAAACTGCGCCACGGCCGACTCCCCAAACAGGAGAGGACAAAAAGGTGAAGAACGCCTAAGAGCCAGAGCCCAAGCAGATTCCACGGAGGAACCCAGCACCGCCTGCCGACACGCGAGACGGGAAGCATAGAACAGTGAAACCGCATCCCGCAAAATCGGCGTGAACAGCTTCAACAAGGCAGCCGACGAACGCGCAGCCGAGGACAAGGTGCCGGACCCCGGGACGGACCCAAGCGTCCCCACATCCTCCACGAGCCAATCCGAAGACAGCTCCAGGAGGGAAAAGAACCGCAAGGCCGAACACAAAAGGCCCCGAGCGCGCAAGTCCTCCGCCACGAGCGCCGCCGAAAGGGAGGGAACCTGCACAATAATTCCCAAATTGTATTAAATCTCGTATTTTTCGATCAAATTTACATCATAACTCGAAATTATAAGTCAGGGCAATCGTAAGTCGAGGTGCCACTGTATGGTCAATGTTCAATTACCACATTGTAAAATTCAACTTCACATACATTCACTTAACTCAAAGTCCAACAATAATTCCCAAATTGTATTAAATCTTAAAATATATCAGATGAACACACCTTGGCACATTCTTCTACTTCCTCCTCATCACCATTCCTCGCAGCTTCCACCAGGGCGAGAAGTGGTCCAGTTGTCTCTAGGAAGCTTCCAGGAAGCAAGAGTATGTATATACAGTATATGAAATAATATGCAAGAAGTTCCCACTTTATGAACATTCACCTTACGAACATTCATCCATATGAACATTCTCCCAGGTCCCCGTGTACCCTCCTGCATGTATAAAATCATTGTACTAACTCACTGAGGTGTTCCTTTGAATTTTGCGGCAGCACAAATGTCCGTGTGACAGCCACAGAGTACAGTAATGTATGAGTGGGTGTGGGTGGGAGTTAGAGGGGGGGTGCATGGTGGGTGTAGGTTTGTGTTGGTGGGTGGCTGGATGTATGATACCCAGTGGCCTCAAGTCCTCTATGACCTTCAAAACACACACATGATCAAATCATGTCCTGGACTATATCCGATCCTATCTTAGTGATAGACACCAATGTGTAGCTATCAATGATATAACCTTTTCCTCTCTACCAATAACTGTTGGAGTGCCACAGGGCAGCATCTTGGGACCTCACACACAGAGATCACACTAACGTGATGCATCAAATGAACAAATCCACAAGGATTTGGTTGCAACCCGTTCTCGCAAATTCGTAAAGTCAATATTGACTTATTAACTACGTGCATAGGTGATATACTAAACATAATAGATACCCTTAAAAAGATTCATAGAAAACACCGACCTTACCTAACCTTGTTAGTGTCTTAAGATAAGCATCTTATTGCTTCGTAATTACAATTATTACTTAACCTATACCTATTATAGGTTAGGTAATAATTGTAATTACGAAGCAATAAGATGCTTATCTTAACATACTAAGTAGGTTAGGTAAGGTCGGTGTTTTCTATGAAGCTTTTCAAGGGAAACTATTATGTTAAGTATGTCACCTATGCACATATTTAATAAGTCAATATTGACTTATTAAATTTGCGAGAACGGGTTGTTGTATGGGATGCTCCCGGACGCAGGTTCGAATCCTCGTCACGCCCCTTGTGGATTTGTTCATCTTGGGACCTCTTCTATTTCTTATATACTTTATTTATTTATTTATTTATTTATTTATTTATATACAAGAAGGTACATTGGGGGTTAACAGAGAACATAGAAATTAAGTTGATTTTACATTCTTGTAAAGCATCTAGCATGCATAGCATTTCGGACAAGTCCTTAAACTAACATAATTTTTAGATAATTCTCAGTAAACTTGACAAAAAATGTTTACAGGTACTTTACAGCTTTACTTTACAGGTACAGATAATTTGAAGTAGAATAATTATAGAAAAATTGTAAAAAAATGTTTACAGGAACATTGCAAGAAATTTTGACACAAAGCAGATCAGAATAATACACAATAATAACAGTACACAATAATGAACAGGATTACTAGGTACATAGGATAACATTACAGGGTTATACATTGGTTCACTGAAGCACAATATGAGGATCATTTCAAGGAATAATGCTGTAGAACACGTACTCAACACAACAACCATTATGTCAGATGATATCTAAGATTACAATGGCAAAGTAATATGGCTTAGGTACAAATATTGGGGGATTGGGTAGCACTAGGTTCAGTGCGAGATAAAGCATTAGGTGGAAACTATAAAGATGAAATTAGGTACTTTTTGTTTTTGTTTTTGAATAAGGCAAAAGTTGGACAGCTTTTCAATTCATTAGGGAGTGAGTTCCATAAACTGGGTCCCTTTATTTGCATAGAGTGTTTACACAGATTAAGTTTGACTCCGGGGATATCAAAGAGATATTTATGTCTGGTGTGGTGATTATGTGTTCTATTACATCTGTCCAGGAAGAGTTTCAGAACAGAGTTTGCACTTAAGAAAAGGGTTTTATAAATGTAATTGACAAGAGAATGTATGGAGTGAAGTTATGTTTAGCATGTTTAGGGATTTAAACAGGGGAGCTGTGTGTTGTCTGAAAGCAGAGTTTGTTATTGTCCTGATAACAGATTTTTACTGTGTGCTGACGGGCTTGAGGTAATGTGCAGAGGTTGAACCCCAAGCACAGATACCATAAGTAGGATAGGGATAGATAAGTGCATAATAGAGTGAGAGGAGTACATAATATTTTATCTTAGAGAGTATACCAACTGTTTTAGAAACCTTTTTAGTTGATGTATGTGGGTGCTGAAGTCAAGTCTCTTGTCTAAGTATTGACCAAGGAACTTTCCGTCATTTTAATTGCAAATGTTTACATTATCTATCTGAAGCTGAATTGCAATTGTTGATTTGCTTCCAAAAATATGTAGTAGGTCTTTTCTATATTTAGTGTGAGTTTGTTGGTTGACATCCACAAGTGGACTTTTTTAATTCATTGTTTACAACATTAGTGGGTTGTTTTACAACATATGAGTGGGTTGGGGTCAGAGTAGATGAGAGTAGTATCATCAGCAAACAATATAGGTTTAAGCATGTTAGAGACATTAGGCAGATCATTGATGTATATAAGAAACAGGAGGGGTCTTAGGATGCTGCCCTGTGGCACCCCTACAGTTAGTGATAGAGTAGGAAAGGTTATATCATTGATGGCTACATATTGTTGTCCGTCACTAAGATAGGATCGGATATAGTTCAGGGCAAGGCCACGGATTCCATAATGCTGGAGTTTAACCCTCAAACCGCGCATATCATATATAAATGATATCAGTGACAAAACCGAAACCGCGCACATCATTTATATATGATTTCGTGTCTAGCACTATAATTTAAACGCCCCGCCTGGGATAGGGGCAGCTATAGTACAGCCACGACCGATAGCTGCCAGATGCCACCTAGAAAAAAAATCCAGGCCAACATTCTTGGGTGTTACAGCGTCAGTATTGAGCAAGCCACCAAGGCTGGCGCACGCAGCACGAGCTCACAGCACCGCTGTTCAGCTTGTGACCACAGCATCGCCTACAAATACCATAATATAAATGATACTGCTATTATTTAGCAGTGATAGTATTACTGAAGCCCCCTGACTGTGATAAAACTGACCAGGATTCTGATAATAGCAGGATTGTGGTGATATTTAGCGCTGTGCTCCACGGAGGGAGGAGTAAGGCTGTGGAGGGAGGGTTGTGGTGTCGTCTTCTGACTCTGTGTGGCCACCATTTATTGACTGCACTCACCATACCAGCTTAGTGGTTCGCTATGGTGAACACAGATGTAGATACTTATATATATAATGTGTGTATAGTGTGAGATAACACCGAGAGGAGTAGGTTGGGAGCCGCCATTTTGGTGAGGGAGGAGCGTCGTCTGCACGACTTGGCATGGTGTTTACTGATGGCCACTATGGTCTTTGGGCACCATACCAGCTTATTTGTTCAGGTATGGTGAATAAAACAGGTAGATACTTATATATAATGTGTGTATATAGTGTAATAACACCACAAACAATATTGTTGGAGGACAAATATTAGTGCGTCTGGCCTTGAGGGCAGCCGCCGATCAGCTGACTGTGTAAGTAGCTACGTCTTATGGCCTTCACTCACCATACAAGCTTAGATGTACAGTTATGGTGAACAAAACATGTAAATACGTATATATAACGTCTGTGTATAGTGAATAAATACAGAAACAGTATTGTGGGAGGTGAATGAGGGTGAGTGAGGTGGTGTTGAGGGAGGGAGTGGCAGTGAGTGGCTCGCTGGTGTTTGGTGTTTCACTCCTCGTTGCTTTTTGACTCACAAGACCAACTTAGTAGTTCGTTATGGTGTACAAAACAAGCAAATACTTATATATAACCTGTGTATATAGTGTAACAACAGCAAAACTATTTGTTTATTGTTTTATGAACATAATAATTGAATCACTAATATGCACACCATAATTTTGAGTACAGCGATGGTTCACACATTTTATAATATAAATATACCACAATTCACTGTATGGAATAACATTACTGCAAAAAAACTAAGAAAAAAACAATCAGAGACATTGAAATAACTAGGTAATAATATATTTGTGGCAACTGCCGTCTGACAGCTCGGGCGGAGTAGACCTCGTCTGGCGAAGGCTCTGCCAACGCCCCTTTTTTGCCACACTTCCCTACCCTATTGCGGCTAAAATATGCCACCTACGATTTTTTTGTTATTTTTTCCGTGATCAGGGAACAAAAATGAACACTTCTATAAGACAAAAGAATTTTTTGGAATTTTTTTTTTTTTTGCGCCTGTGGGTGTGAATTCCATTTGGGCCCCTAGCGGTTTGAGGGTTAAGTAAGAGATAGTTATGGGTAACAGTATCGAAAGCCTTTCTCAGATCAATGAAGAGTCCAATCGGAAACTCACTTTTGTCAAGGGCTGAGTAGATTAAGTCAAGCAGACCAACAATTGCATCACTGGTACCCTTTTGGGAGCGGAAGCCAAACTGACAGGGACTTAGTACTGTATATTGAATTTTATGAGATAGGAGTAGAGCTGTTTGTAAATAATTTTTTCAAATATTTTTGATAATATAGGTAGATTTGAAATGGGTCTGTAATTATTTATGTCTGCCGTGTTACCTCCTTTATGAAGTGGCATTACTCTTGCTTTTTTAAGGATATCAGGGAAGGTATGACACTCTAAGACTTATTGAACAGCAAAGCTATGGGTGGTGCAAGAGCATGGGAGGCACTCTTGTATACCAACGATGGTATTTCACTAGTGTTTCAATGTTTCAATTTCAATGATCTGCCTAATGTCTCTTAACATTCTTAAACTATACTGTTTGCTTTTGATACTACCCTCATCTACTCAGACCCCAACCCACACACACTAAATAATGTTGTGAATAATGAATTAAAAAAGTACACTTGTGGATGTCAACCAACCAACACTAAACATAGAAAAGACCTACTATAACTTATTTGGAAGCAAATCATCAAATGCAATTTAGCTTCAGATAGACAGTGTTAACATCAATAATGAAAATGATGGAAAGTTTCTTGGCTTATTCCTAGACAAGAGACTCAACTTCAGCACCCACATTCAACACATAACTAAGAAAGTCTCTAAAGCAGTTGGTATACTCTCCAAAATCAG